TTTACTTCTCTCATTTTCTCAGATTTCTGTAGCATATTTGGAGTCAAATATGTTTGTTCGTTTCCATACTAACCACAATCGAATGATCAAGTCGATAGATTTGTGGATACCTTCATCTTCGCCTGTAGCTCTTCTAGAGTTACTGCTGGTCTCAAGTCCGGGTAAAGGAGGAGGGTTGGGCATGAGGTTAACGACCCCATCCCGTAGAAAACTAACCCGCTAGAAAACCCTAACCAGAAAGGACAATTCAAACCATTTAAACTCTGCCCTGGGAGTTAGAAGGTCTTCATTTAGAAGAACTATGACGCCTCATGGTGAAAGCCGAGTTCCTTCGGAAACCACGTGGCTGATGCCCCTTCTAGCAACCAGAGCAACAATGTTTATAGGTACATGGAACGTCCGAACAATGTGGGAGACTGGGAAGACCAGTCAAATAGCAACGGAAATGCGGAGATACAGCCTAGAGGTGCTTGGGATCAGTGAAACACATTGGACCCAAGCTGGACAACAAAGGCTAAATACGCGAGAGGTGTTGCTATACTCCGTCATGCAGAAGAAAATACGGAAACAGTTGATTTGGCGGTAAGCTCCTCAGTTGTGGAGAATGCCATTCTCGTCCAAATTGATGGATTTCTCATTTCCACGAAGTTGGTAGGTTAAAGGTCTCACGAGAGACATGCAGTTTGGTATGAACCGCCTATAGAAACTTACGAGGCCGTTAAACGTGCATCGTTGCTTGGTTGTGGCCGCCACTTTGCTTCTCAAAGGTCGGATGCCTTGAGCATCAATAGTGTGTTCGAGGAAATCTAGGAAGTCAGTTCCGATTTGGCCTTTCTGAATTTTTACAGCAATGCCATACTTTCGCAGTCGTTCGAAAACGGGGTCCATATGCTGGAGATGAAATTCTTTGTTCGGACTTGCGATTAAGTATTCACCAAAATACGCATGTACGAAGTTGCGACCTCAATAAACGTCATCGATAAATCTCTAGAAAATTTGTGCAGCACTTCTTATTTTATTATTTCCGTTCACTAACCTCCGTTTTGATCTTAAATAATTTAGGAATCCGTTCTGTCATAATGAGTATAGAGTATAGTAATGAACGATGAAAAGGTATCCGAAAATACTAGAACAATATTACAATATGTAAAAATTAGGTTTTAAAAAAATGATGTACAAAGTCCCACCAATGAACAGACTCACAGTTCACGAATTGGTGTACCAGATCACGTCAGGCTCACCATTAAGGATATCACAAGTAATCAGAGTTTGACAACGCTTTAACCAGCATCACCTTTTATAATCGGATTATACCAAGTCAGTCAAATCAGAAGTCAGAAATGAAGAGGTTCGAAGATATATCTGATAGAACCTCGATAGACCGACAAGTAAGTAATCTAAGCTGGCTAGCGGTTGTAGGTGAGTCCAATAAAACTAATGTGGTCAGCATGAAATGTCGAAGACTTACAGAGATTTCGATTTTGATGATTTATATACCGCTACACGTTTCCTTATTAATTTTATTGTGGAACAGCGACTGACAATAAACAACTTGCGTTCAATGATAGTGAAAAACTTTGGAGCTGTCTATGATTCATTATCGCCTTATCGATTTCAGATTAGGCTGTTTTCAAATCAACTAACAATCTATAATCCGCTGTCTTGTGTAGAACAATCCAGTTTATACGATTCCTAAAATCACAAAGTTTTTTAAATTACATTGTGTTACTAACAAGTATTAAAGTAGTTTGTATTCGTCAGCAATTTTCTAACCTCGAAGCTTAAATATCACGTAAATCAAATGGTATAAAAAGGCATGACTGACTTGATAAAGACAGCGATGACTGTTGTGACTTTGAATAACTTACTATGTCACTGATATGAACAAATGGATATGAATAAGAAATTCATCTGACTATGACATTTTTATGCTATTTCTGACGATGCATTCTGTAAGGAGACATCGACAGTTTCTCTGTATAGCTTCTAATAACCAATAAGATGATATAAATCAGTTGAATAATCGATTATCTCTACAAAATTCCAAAGAAATATAGATAGTGAATAGTCACATCTTTCTTCATCTTGATTGGACTAATCTCGAATTCGTTAAAAGTTCTAACATGTTTTCCCAATACTTCTACAACATCGTGGTGAAATATAGTTCTGTAAACAACCATATAATTTAACAAATAATCTGTTTTTCAAAGTGAAGATTGTAATGTAGTACTTGGGATTCATGAGTGGAAGACTTTTGAGGACTAGTCAATAGTTAATTAGCCCAAGCAGTATCGGGTAAGATTACAGTTTATTTGTCTGTATCTCACTATATACTTGCGCGATTTATCACCATCATTAGATGATTAGTTTATTCCGATGTTTTCAGCTATTATCATCCCATTTATATATGTGACCATAAGCATTTGTGCAAGATAGCTATACGTGTATCTTTCGTCTCTGTAAATTTCGAGTCATTTCTTAACCAAATTGAGTAAACATGTCCCCTTACTATTTCTCTTCTTGACTATATTCACTAACAAAATATGAGAAGTGTGTGATCAAAATCTTACTCGTACCTGACATAATTTAAATCTCTACAAAATGGATTGAGTTGACTTTTTCTTTTACCTACTCGAACATATTTCTTTTATTCACTTTTTATTACTGACAAATATATTGGTAGCTCAGTTGTACTCTGGAATAGCCATTTGTGATTTACACTGTAAGATATATTTAACACGTTTGTCTAACATAATTTTAAATAATCACAAGAACACTTTCATTGTTAATAATTGCTCATCAGAAACTTGTCAAATGTTATTGTAAACTATAATTTTTAAGATGAATAAACAAATGCGGACACTCATAAGTTGATTAGCAACATCTTCGACTGTATTGAATCTACATAAGAACAGGAATCAGAAAGTACTTCCATCGTTGTATGCTTTATTTGAAGGAACAAACATATAAACTTTGGTCACACAAGTATAAAGAAATTCAAGTCATCAAGATCAAATGCTAAATGTTAATAAGCCAACAGAGCACAGAAACAGTTGTGTCTAGATGATATTCAAAAAGAGTCGAAAACCATTACAGAACTCTCACGACATGAGAAATTGAAAAAACTCATCCTCAGTTTGTTTTCCTTAAAAGTGGACATCTCGTTGACTTCGTCAAAAAAGTCTCTGAGTAATTGAACTAGGATCTAAAACTAACCTCAGAATTCGAGAAACGGATAATACCGCTATATATGAAAAACACTAAGAAATCATGAAACCCTTTGAAATTATAATCCCTCATAAATCAACACAACATTATCTCGTTTTATACAGATCAAAAGATATAGATGTAGAGATTGATAAATTCGATGTTATCTGCAACATAAAGTGAATCAACTGAGAGAAGCACTAAATTAGATAATGTTCGTATCCACCTTCACTTACTTATAGACAAATAAAAACTAGCAATGAAATGACATGAAATAGTTCCGCTGATATCATATTTTAGTGTTCTGAAAAATAAAACTAGGAACTGGGGGCGATCTTCACTGAAAAGCATCAATACTTACTTAAGATATAGATGACTAGTTTGGAAAATGGAATGAAGCATGTGAAAATTGCATTCTACTATGTTAATCACTACTACAGCAAATAATATGAGATAAAATAAGATCAAATCTGATGGAGTTCTGATAGGGTATTCAAATTATGTTCATGAAGGTTAAATACGAAGTATATTGTTCATTTCAATGGTGGCTGGAGGTAGTCGACAGGAAACCCTGGACCCGAGTTTCGTGCTACTTGGCACTCGTCAGCAAGGTGTACCTCTAATCTTGAGGTAACTGGTGCTCTCTGACGTATTCGATCCCGTGTCATCCAGCTTCACAGTCAGGGAGCATCAGTATCGAGTCACCTAGACTTGTGGCCACATTGCAACTTGGTCGATAGCATTCGATCTGCACTAAGAACGACTTGACACACATGACATTGATCACCACCCAATGATCAATCAACTGAGATTGTTCATTTCATTTACCTAATCAAATTTACAAGAACATCAATGAATAAAGAGAGATACGAACTCCGCCTGGAGCTCCCTCTGAGGCTATTGTCAATCCCAAACCCGGATAAAGAAGGAGGGTTGTTTTTGGTGGTGTTTTGTTCTCTGAGCTGGATGGTTTGGTCGTGGAGCTTTCATCGTTCTTCTGAACGACATCATCAGCACAAACTTCAGGTAGAAGTGAAGTGTTCGAATTTCTCCATATGTGTTTCACAGTTTGTTCTGTGCAGCTCGATGTTGATTGGTTCTTGTTGACCTTAAATTTATCATTGTTTACTTCTTTGTTTTGGTTGTGCCTCCCATTGGTTTGATTTTTGTTCCTATATTTATGCATCCACCATCTCAGAAGGAGGGTTGGACATGGGGTTAGTGACCCCATCCCGTAGAAAACTAACTTGCTAAGAAAACGCTCACCAGAAAAAAAATAATTTAAACTATTTAAACTCTGCCCTGGAAGTTAGAAGGTCTTCATTTAGAAGAGTTATGAAGCCGAGTTCCTTCGGAAGTCACAAGGCTAATGCTACTTCTGACAACCATAGTAACGATTAATTCAGGTACATGGAATACTCGTACAATGTGAAAAACCAGGAGAGTCTTCTAAATTACTACAGAAAGAGAAATACAAATACTTTTATCAATATAAAAAAGTGGATATTTTAGTCTTCAAATACAAAAATTAATAATCATTTCATAATGTCAAAATTCATTAACACATCTCATTTATTGTCTATATATAAAATATGAATTGCGCCATATGGTCAAATGATAGCCAATCACAATTCAACAAGATTTTGATTGGTCAATTCATTTAAATGTTTATTATTTATTAAATAATTAGCCTAAGGGGTGTTGCTTCAATATGATTGGGTAAAAAGAAAATGAAAGTGAATTCCTCCTTTAAGAAAGATAAATTATTATTTATCATTTTGATAACCATTCAAGTTATTTTAGGATAATATTTTATTTCTCTTCAATTCATGGAACTTTCTTATTTTATTCAATATTTGATCACTTTAATAGTTTACATTAAATTGATCTATTCAACAACAGAGTTGAATCAACAACAAAACCATCACCACCACCACCACCAACAACAACAACAACAACAACTAGATCGTTTAGCAACATTTTCATTAAAATTTCTAGAATTTCATAATCATGCACATCGACGTATTGATGGTAGTTGTTGTGGTCGTCCTAAACAATCATCATCTTCATTATTAACTACTATAAAAGTAGAAACGGAAATATGTAAAGCAGAATGTGCATTAGAGTTTCGTATTTGTATTGAACCTTATACAGTAATTAATACATTATCGAATAATACAAAAATTTACAATGGTCCTTGTATGTACGGTGAAGTATATACTGGTCATTGGGGTAATACAGATATTACATATGGATTATTAGAAGCCAGTGTACACTCTATTGGAATTATACATCCATGGCCGGTAAGTTAATGACTGATTTATTATAATATTAAGTTTGTTTAATGAATATTATACAATATCTAAAAAGGATTTTAATGATCGTAAACTAATTCAAGAGAAAGATTATTGAAAAAATGTATGCGATAATTACTTCGAAGTGTTTGAAATCATGTTTATACATAGAGAATGAAATTTAAGATATATTCAAGTTACTCGAAAATAAACGGAATACACCCATTAGGACATTAAATAAGAAAGATTAGTTCAGTGAAGAGTTCTCCCTTTTTCGGCGAATTCATTTTCAAAGCTGTACAATTGAAAAATATATATACAGGATGATAATAATACTGATAATAAACTTGTTATACATGATGACAGTGAAACAATTAGACTGCATCTTCTTTGCATTGCCGAATCAATAGTCATACATCTGGAAAAACCAGAGTTGTGTGTGCAAGAGAGACTGGTACAACCTCTTCTTTTACCATGGTCTTAATGTATTAAAATTTTCTCTCTTTCTTCATACTCCTCTTCCTTTACAGCCATCTGCTCCACTCTCCATCTTCCTCTTAAATTTTCTACCCCTAACTGGTTCATTTTGTTTCCACGATCATCCTTATTACATTTTATCTCCATTTTAACATTTATTTCATCATGTTGAGCTATCCTTTCCCAACGACAATTTCCCTATCTATCCTTTGATGAATACTTAAGCCATTAACAATCAAACGATTATTAAACTTTCCTTGTTTTATTTTCAATACCTTAGTTTATTCAACCTCACTGTCACCGTGTCTAACCGAGGATTATTATCAGTATTATTATCACCCTGTAAAAATAAGTATATATATTTACGATTGTACAGCATTGAAAATGAATTCGCCGAAAAGGGGAGAACTCTTCGCTGAACTAATCTTTCTTACTTGAAAATCACAATAAATTTCATTTACTGAGTTGCTTCAAATTACCGTTATAGTTAATTTATAATCTAACAAGTCGACCATTCTATACCCTTCATAATACACATCATATTTGAAACATGTTTCAACTTTGTCGGTTAAAATTTTTTAAAAAAGCAAAAACAACCATTCACATTTATAAAAAAGTTATTCAACCGAAACTCCTTCTTGATTAAATTTCCTTAAACAAAAACGACTCCATTAAGTGATTGATTTAACTAATCACACTTGATGATACACAGTCACTATCTTCTTTTTACCTTTAGGCTAATGTTATAAATGAATAGGAAACTTATAGGGTTCAATGCGTGAAAGTAGATGAACACAATAAATGAGTATTAAATTATACACTGAAAATAAATCAAAACCGTATATGAATAAATTGACTTTTATATGTTTCAATTACATTGTTCGGTAGTCCAATTTTAATAAACCATACTGAGTAGCCCTATTTATATAAATTGGTATATATAATAAGCATTATGATAGGATTGAACTGTTGTAACTAATTCACTAAGCCATATGATCTATTCGTTCTTAACATCGCCCTACTAAGTAGTATTGTATATGAGTAGCTCATCTATTACTTACTTACTTACTTACTTACTTACTCCTGTTACTCCTCGCGGAGAAGCATAGGCTGCCTACCAGCACTCTCCATCCAACCCTGTCCTGGGTAATCCTTTCCAAATCTTTTTAGTTTTTATTCATCTTTTTCATATCTTTCATACACATAGTTCCCTTTATTATTTTAAAGAGAGCAAGAACAAAGGTTGGTGCAGAATAATATGAATTCATTTTATTTCGTTAGGTTCTCATCAGCTGCTTACAACCTAAAATATTTGAAATTCAACATTATTACAGATATTGACATTTCGTTAGAGTTAATGAGGTCATAAGATTTTGTTTCGAATATATAGAGTTTGGGAGGGAAGGTTCTAGAAAACTGAAATAGTGATTAGAAATCATATCTGCTTATATTTCTCGAGATAATGTGTTCTTCGGCCTTCGAATTTTCCGCTTCTCTTCAGCATTCTAAGTTAGTGTTTGCCTCGTGATATAGTTTGATGAATTCCGTAATGCATATCCCATCTATTTCCATTATCTTTTCCTAAGTTTTTCCTCAATTGGAAGCTGATTTGTTCTCTCCCACAGAAGGCTGTTACTGATGGTCTCCGACCAACGGATGTTGAGTATCTTGCGTAGACAGCTATCTATAAAGACTTGCACCTTCTTGATGGTGGTTGTTGTAGTCCTCCAAGTTACAGCTCCATACAATAGAACTAACTGTCTTGACGTTCGTATTGAAGATTCTGACTTTGGTATTAGTTGATAGTTGTTTTGAGTTCTATATGTTCTTCAGTTGAAGGAATGCGGCGCTTGCTTTGCCAATCCTCGCCTTTACGTCTGCATCTATTCCTCCTTGTTCATCGATGATATTTCCCAGGTAAGTGAAGGATTCTAACACAGACTAGTCAAGTGCAAATCCGATTACCATCAACTAGCAAATAGAAACACTCGAAAATTCCAATAACTTAATTGTACGACTCTATAGATAGTTTACATTTTACTAAAATTCCTAATCGACAGTTTTTCTGACTAACTGACACGAACTGACTAAGTAATCAAATTGTTATCACGAACCCTTTAACGATGAAAACAGACAATTTTTCATTCGTTCCAACACATCCGAAAATGAAATTGTCCTATTCATTTCCATTTTCTCCTACTATTGCTCAACATGAGTTGTTATTTACCTTATTTCTAATTTGATCCTTAATGTTTTGAAAGTAAGATTTTGATCAATTGACAACATTCGTTATTTGCAAGTATTTCCAAGAAGTATTTTATGCATGTTTGATAAAACTATTTTGTACAGAATAGTATACTTATGATATCTATTAAGTGATAGGAATAAATAGAATCAAGTAGAAATTTATGTTCTGAATATTTGAATCACACTTTTACATCTGATTTAGCTCATCAATGATTGAAACTCTCGGCTTATACTGAAAAGAAGAGGGGGAACCTGTTGATTGAGTCATTAACATTCATTAATTAAGATTATGGGGACCACTTGTCTGTCACTGTCTGTCTTTAACCTACACAACTGACTTGAATAAAAGTTAGTTATAAGTTAAAGACACTATCAAACTAGATTAGGTAATGATAACAGCAGTTGACGAGGGAAATGTCTTCACTGGTCTATGTACACTGTTCGGTGGAAACTTTTTGTTCGGCGTCTATACGATTTAATGCTAATCTTTAATTGTAGACTGTTAGTCATTTCGCTCAAAATTTATTTTAATGAAGCAAATGAATACATTCACTACGTTTCTTCAAAGTTCAAGTCTTATTACTATTATCTTTATTATCGTTCTTTGATACCACATAATGTTATAGTTGTAGACAGTTCATGGGAAAATTACTAAAACCCAAGATTTTTGCCAGTTAACACTTGTCAGTAAGGCATAACTAGAGTTTTAAAAACAAACCGATACTCCCTCTGAAGTTCCAATTCACATTGCCCAATCTCACTGTGTTAAGGTGATAAAACAGAGTTATCCAGGCCATGACTATATTTACCGTAGTCCATTCAATGTTGGTCCATATCGATCCATATCGATGTTCAATGCATTCAAATTGTTTATCATAGTTACTCAGTCAACCCAACATGTATCCTCACAATATATATTTATATAATTTGTAATTAACTGCATGATAATCTGTTTAGGATGCACACATCCCAATAGAGACTGATAAATTACATTCTGGATTATCAATAACAGGACAATAAAATACTAACATTTTCATTATCCGTTCAACAAGTAACTGAGTGTTTACATTCGTTAGCTTAATGAACAATCAGTTGACGTTTCAAACAACAGTTAGTAGATTCAACTGTGAATCTGAACAACAACATTGTGACATGAAAACATCCAGTAGAATGATAATGAATGACATGAAGTATTCTTCTTAACTTCTACTAGTATACAAACTCCAAATATAGTTACTACTGACTCTAGTAGTAGCTTGAATAGAACTACACAATATAACGGTATTGTTCTTTCACTAAAATTTGACAAGTTGTTTGTCTGATAATAGATCTACAATACAATTCTTATCACTAACTAACATATACTTCACTCATAACTCCTTAAATCGAATACAATTTTAAAATTAAGTGGAATATTAAAAAGAGTTTTGGAAAATTAGGAATGAAATTATCATTCAATTCAATTGGTATTATATACTTGAATCCTTCCATTAGTTCGAGTCCTAGAGTGAACATTAAGCCGGTGAGTCCAAAATAGGACGAAACTCGCGTTCTGTATTCCACTGCTAGCCACTATCCATCTTTGCTCAACATTATTATTATTATGTATAAAAATGTTAAATATATGAGTTAGGTCTCAACTTGATTATGATACACTATCCATAGAAATAGAAATTCTTAGTTGGTACGTCTAACACTATAATTTTTAAAACAACTAGTTCCTTTGATAAATTTCGATAATCCAATGAGTAGACGAAAGTTTATTAGAATTATATGATGATATATTTGCGCAAAACACGTACATAGGGAGGAGCAATGGTGATTTGCAATTAAGAATGGGTGAACACATACCCAAATGGCTACAGAAACAACTGAATTCCAATGATCAAATAAGATCACAGGATAGACAGACATCATCCTCCACTGCGAAACATTTGATTGAGATCGGTCATAAGATTGACATCAAGTCAGCATTTGTAATGTTATACAAAAGTCTTTAAAGGAGTATGCTAAGATTTATTGAAGTCTTAGCTATACGGAAACTGAAACCCCCTTTATGTGTTCGAAAACAATTCGTTCTTGCTCTTAACGTACCCTGGTAATACTGATTTATTATCCAGAGTGGTTATCACATTATAAGAGATGGTTAGTGATTAGCAGTGGAATCCAGGTGATGCGTTTCGTCCTACCTCGGACTCGAACCCAGTACCTTTCTCTTCAAACGCTAATTACGTCATCCTTTTAGCTACTGAGTCACATTCTTTTCGTGTACTATGTTTTGTTTT